CTGAAACTGAGTGAGATGTTTCTCACTCCCTTGTTGTTTTTGTATATGTTTTAAATTGTGTTGCAGATGATCAGCATCATGAGGATGTTGGTGATGAGGCTTAAGGCTTCAGTGGGGCATGCTCTGATAGGATGTGACATCTGGCATAGCTAGGCTTGTTTTTGGGATGTTATTGTTTTAAAAGCTTTAATTTTCTCTTCTTATGTAATTTTGAACGTTCTTGAGAAAAGACCAAAATGTACATCTTTGTTATACTATTGTATGATTTTAAAGTTATAAATTAATTCCTAACTAGGAGGCACTGCCACCTTTGCTAGAATTAATCTATATTTCCCTTTATATGATTTCTTGAGTTTTAATACTTATATGTTGACTTTTTATGATTGATGAGTTACGAATGTGAATCTTCTACCTTGTGATATTTGAAACAATTGTTTTATACATGAAAAATGTTATTAAACTATGAAAGATTTTATTTACTCAAAAAGAAAAAGAAATTTTTCTTTACAATTATTGTGTATTGATGTTGGGGTAGAGGGTGTCACAAAAAGAAATAAAATTTAAGAATTAATGGAGATAAAATTAAAGTTTAAGTATTTATTTGCATAAAAGAGTAAGGTTCATGGTTCAATTAAAGTTTAAAGCATGTAACATCCCAAATACATTAGAATGGGAGCAATCTAGAGAATGTATAGAATTTAAAATGACTTAAAAGAATTAATTAAAACTATATATTCTAATAAAATGCATATAATTTTTGGTATTTATAACTGAAGAACTTCACAGGAAATAATGCTTGACTTAGAAAAATTTAAGAATGGATAATCTTTTAATTTTTTTTAAAGTGTGTGAATAAGGATAAAGCACAGTAAAAAATTGTTGGGATACAAATAAGTCTCACATAAATAAAATAAGAGAAGAAATAATAACTTATAAAACATCCACATACTCCAATGATTGGGAGGTCTTTTAGGTGATGATCAAAAGTAAAACCATGATAAAAGGTTAGGTCCCTTGTTTAAAATATTTCCTCAAATAAATACCATAAAATAACCTCATGAGAAAATCTTGCATTAGTTTGTGATAACAATCATTGATCCTAAAAATTGAAACATCTCAAAAAGTGATGAAGGATTATTTGTATAAAGTGTCACTATATGAATTGTCGTGGAATGTAGTCATTAAGATATCAAATTTGATAGAGCATTACAAATTGTCTATTTACCAAAAACAAATAATTAAGAGGATAAATTTTATTTAACTATTAAATATTTTCATCTTATCTCAACCACCAAAATCTTAGTAAATTACACAATTATAATTATAAATTTTATAGTTAATATTTACTTAATTTTTTTTTACTTAACGAAGAAACAAATATTTTAATTTTAAAAAAATATTAAATTAGCCTATTCATTGATTTTTTTTCTTAAGTTAATGATTGAATTAATAAAATAAAATACATACATAAGTTTAATGAAGAGATAATATTAAAATTCTATAAAAATCGTTAAAGAACGAGGTTACTAAAATTATATATATATATATATA